ATTTTTTTCACGATAGTAAGGCTATAGCCGATAGTTACTGTTGTAATTTGACCTGTTTTGAAATGTGTGTCTATGGACTTCATAAATGTGCAGTGTTTTTGCTATTAAAAAATAAGTTATTTCATTTATTGTGCAACTATTGCGGTTGGTTTTTTTTTTTAGCTTTTACCTAAGCGTTTTATTGTAAGTAAAAAATAGAGGGTTTTTAGCACAAATTATTCACTTGGCAGCATGTTTTGTGGTATAAACTTGTATTTAACTTTTTTTTAATTATATTTTTTTGCATTTCTTCATGATAGTAAGACTATAGTCTTGCATGTTTTTGGTGATATTTTGACATGAACAGGTATGATGGTTTTTGGAGTGTGGAGTATATGGAGGTTTAATTTAATATCACTTAGCAGTTAAGGACCTAGAAAAGACATAACAAGACTGACCTTTGAAATGTTATCTGGAAAAAGAATTAAAGCCACAGCAGTCAGTTTGAACATAACAGTGTGGCTGATTGATGTACTCACAAGTACCTTACCTGAATTCAACCCAGGTCACCACAGTCAGATGTATCCCCATTTTACATCTGCTTTTCCATTATTATCAAACAAACTTCTTATTCTATGACCTATAACTCTATTTTTACTATTTATTATGACTTGTCATTTTGTATTTCGGAGACATCAATCCAAAATCAAGTCCAACAAAACCCAAAAACCTAAGTAAAAAAAAAAAAAAAGTCTCCTCTTGTTGATTGAATGACTCAAATTATAAGTCGCTTTGGATAAAAGTGTCTGCTAAGTGTAATGTAACAGATTTAATGAGTAATATTCCATTTACTTCAAAACATCTGTTAGTGTCCATTAAATGTTCTAAACATCTGTCTTAATCTGTTAAAATAACAGCATACCTTCACACAACCCTGGTTGCACTGCAGTACTGATAAAGTTGTTACAAAGAAATGTAAATAAAAATTAATTTCTCCTAAAAAATCATGTTTTAATACTATAACTACTTCCATGGTGTACTAATTTCATGAAAATGAACCAAAAACAAGGAAAACAGTGTAACTGTTACATTAAAAGTCCAATAAATTGAAGTCCAATAAATCGCTCAAAATACAAGTTTATGCCCCAAGACATACGCCAAGTGAATAATTTGTGCTAAAAACCTCTATTTTTTTTCTTACAGTATAACACTAAGTAGTAAAAAGTAAGCTAAGTAAAAAGCTAAGTTTAAAAAAAAACAACCACAATACTTGCACAATGAATGAAATAACAACAACTTTTGACTTTTTTTAATAGAAAAAACACTCCACATTTACAAAGTCCATAGATACACATTTCAAAACAAGTCAAATTACAACAGTAACTCTTAGCTTTATTTTAACACATTTTCAGGTAAAGATGGACAGATCACATACTCACCACCACATGTGCTCACAGGATTCGACAACGGACCCATCATCAGGAGTGGAACAACTTCATTAAACCTCTTCTTTTGGCCTGAAACACAAGATGGAATAAAGAACATATTCCACACATATGGTCTCAGATGATACCATCTCTGACTGGGTAATTCACCGCGTAGTATTTGCCCTTCCCAGCCCCGATATCCTGTAAACATATCACAACACTCTGTAAATGCTGTCCAAAAGTTTAACTTACGGTGAAAAAAAATTACTGAAATATATATTGAAATGTTTCTTTTCTTACTTGAGCAGCTTTAAAACGACCAGGGCGATGTCGTTCACGTAACAGAAACCAGATGATTCGGACTTCTCGGCGTCGTGGAGTCCACCGGCACAGGTGATGGCGATATGGGTCTGCTGCTACATCTGAAGGGAATTAATTAATCATACGTGCACGAGCAGGTACGCGCGTTTAAATAATGCAACGTCTAAATTTGTACCCTCGATGATATTGTGCCGTCTTCGTAAATGCGTCATCGTTACAAGCCGCTGCTTCACAAACACACGTGGCAAAAGTCGCAACACCCAAAATGTTTGATGAAATAAAACTCAAATCAAACGGTCTTCGTGCACATATTTAGAGGGCAAATAACAAAGCGCTATCTCGTAAAATCCAATAACACGCTGACTGAAGCGACACGTGCGGCTCAAACAGGCTACTGTTTAGTTCGGCAGACCGTTTAAAAGACTGGTTTGTTTTAAACGGTCTGCCTTGACACAGCGTCATTTTGTAACCATCACCGGCCCAGGAAGTACTACCACTTGAAGTGCCAGAAAACAGAAAACAGAAGGTCAAGATAAGAACGTAACTGAATGTACTTTATTCGAGTAAAATATTTTTTTTTAAATTAAATATATTTATATACACATATTGTACAAAATAACATGTAAAGTATATTATGGTTATTTTTTAATTATTATTACTGGACCATCCATTACATTTTTTGGCAGTTCTCATTTATGAATCCCTTTTTTGTTATTTAAAAATTCCTTTATGTGGAAAAATTGCCCTTAACGTGCAGTCATTTCAAATTTTTGGTGTATAAATGCCAAAAACATTTTTTTCCATTACTCTGTTGCACTGTTGATGCAGTATGATGAAGTATTTTCACATGATCGTCATAAAAAGTAAGATCAAAACACTTCTTCACCTCCCCTTCAAACACATCACTCCACCCAGAGGACGAGACTGTGCTTTGAAGGTGACCATGAATAATTGGCCGGTGGCTAAATAAACACTCGGACTGTGATGCATCATGGGAATATACATGGCCAACGTAAAGTGAAACTGGATGATGGATGTGTACAAAAATGCACATTTGTGGGTGTGGGCGGCTTGGCGTCAGTGTGTGTGTGTGAGTGTTCAATGCCATTATTGGACATGAACAGAAGACAAGGGGGGTTAAAGAGACAGAAAGGACAGCAATGCGTTGGTTGAATACAGTGGTTTTCTTACAAATCTTCATTAAAAACTTACTGACCTTCCACAACAGCTGAACAGATTTCTCGTCACTCACTTTTGGGCCCTGTGAACTCAG